AGCTTAAGGGAATCTCAAGAGAATTGTACAGAAATTCTAAAAAATGGAGGCATTTTCCTTTAACAAGCCCTTCCTGCATTGAATTTCTGTGAGTTAGAGCAGAAAAAACACTAAATGTGCAGAGGGCATCCAGGACCAGCGCCGGGAAACTATGTTTGCTCAAGGTTTAAGAGGCCTACACACATTACATAATACGTCATATTCCGATATGTCATTTTGTGTTCTTCAGTAAGTGCTGCCACGTATTTGTGAGTGAAGGCAGACGTGTTATAGTCCTTATCGTCCTTAGAATAGATATTGCTGGGTTGGAGAGGAGGACAAACAAATAAACAAGTAAACAAATTCAACAGTTTATATACTTGCCTTACTTTACAGCCAGACTGTTAGCTAGTTCGTTAGACAGCAAGACGATGTAAACTTTTGGCAGGCAACTTGTACTTTGACGGTCTTAATTTTGTCCCCTGCTAACTATTTATTGGTACCTGCAGCTAAACTATGCATACAAATCAGGCAAAGCTTCTGTCAAGCAAGTGACACCGGTTTCACAGCTCCAGCACAGACTGTCAGCAGACTCACTGCAGAGGATTTCTCTTATCACAGAGCGCCACCATGAGGCAGAGAGAGCACACACCACACTACAGTAACGACACCGTCCACTAGAGGGTAGCGCTTCGCATTCGAAAATAGACAATGAGAGAGAGAGCGAGAGAGAGAGAGAGAGAGAGAGAGAGAGAGAGAGAGAGAGAGAGAGAGAGAGAGAGAGAGAGAGAGAGAGAGAGATACCATAAAAGAAAAGAAAGAATATCACAAAATTCTCAAGGATTCAAAAGCATAAAAATAAATTTATGCATTAAAAACGTATGAATTAAAATAAATAACAAAATAAATTAAAAAGAAAAATTAACAAACACAAGGGAATAAATAACAAATGCATGCCCCTAAAATTAAATTATTAAAAAAAAAACAAAAAAACAAAAACAAACAAACAAAAAGTTGACATATTTTGTGTATTGGTTCTATGTGTGTGTGCTCTTTTGTTAAAATAATACACATTTCTACATGAGCTTTCAAAATTAAAAAAGTTAAAACTGAAGACTCAACACCTTTAATCTCTTGTCAACAGCAAACATTCAAGTCTAATCACATTGAGCAAGCAAGACTCTGCTTTTCAAACTACTACAGTACATAATCAATAAATAAAAGCCTTCGGTTCAATAATTTATTGTTAAGACAGTCAATAAATATATTACTGTACATAATAAAACACAATGAACTTAACTAAACTTGATTATTGGATTGAAATTACATTGAAAAAAGGGAAAATGGTACAAAATATTACAAAAACTTTCAATAAAATAGTCAGATGTATGCTTTCTTGAGAGGCCATAGTTTCTCCACTTCATCATATAACATGCTTTAAATAGTTCTTCAGCATTTGAGGGATATCCAGGCTATCAATAGAGCGTACTTTGTTTGCCACAGTAAGATACCTCCATATTGCAAGCCGCGTCTGAGACATCAGTGTTTTAGGGCAGACTGCAAACAGAAGGAGGAGACGTTGTGAAAATAAAATCTTAGCATAACCACTAGCACAAAGAGTCATATGCAAAGGTTTGGGCACCCATGGTCAAATTAGTTTTCTAAGTGAAAAATTAACACATCATACAGAGAACACACATCTGCACACTTTAATGCACAATTACTGCTTATTTGCTGAATTTAACATATTGGTAAAAAATAAAACATAAAATGTGGCCAATATGTCATAAATAGCCAATTAATAGAAATTGTGTACTAAAATTTGCAGAATTATTTTCACTTATAAAATCATTAAAATTTTACCTAAACTGATACAACTCACACACAAACCCACACACACACAAACACACACATGAAAAAAGAACAAAGAAAAAAATTTAAAATATTTAAAATAAAATGTTTGAGTTTAGTCCAGACATTGATAAACACATTATTCAGAGCCAACTCAATAAAAGCAAACACAAGCTGTGTTTGACTATTTGAGCAATTACACCACAGGGATATTCCACAGAGCAAAATATCTCAGTAAAGTGCATTATTTACATCAAAAGTCAGGACTGTGTAATATAAATGTCCCCTAGCTCTCTTCTTTTTGGACAGGCTTGGGTTTTGGCTAAAATTATCTTTCTAACTAAGAAATCTTTCTTTGTGGAAATCCACCCAGACCTTTGTTTATAACATTAAATAAAGAAACTGACTTGCGTAATGAAGCTTACCTCTTTCTTTGAGCAGCATCATCACCGCCTCATTCTGCTGGGTCGTTTTGTCTATGATTAGCGAAGGGAGGTAGACATTGGCGCCAAAGTCTATAAGCAGCTGAATGTACTCAACTCCACACCCGTACCTGACACACATCTCTAGAACTGTCTTTGGCTGCTTGATTCTGGCCAGCAGCTTCTCTTCTGTGCAGTTGTAGTCAGGATTGGCTCCGTGCAGGAGCAGCAGCTTGAAGCAGTCCAGGTGGCCGTAAACAGCAGACATGTAAAGGGGTCCGCGGCAGGCCGTAGCATTAGAGGCCCAGTCCGGCACTTTGGCCCTGACGTCCACCTCAGCGCCATATCTCAGCAGCTCTCTCAGAATGTCTACGTCGCCCTCCCTGGCTGCGGTCAGCACAGGGGAACTGTTGTTATACTGGCTGCCATTGGGATCAGCACCAGCTTTAAGTAAAGCAATGACACAGTCTAGATGTTTGGCACTAACAGCGGTGAAAAGGGGCGTCTGGGCCTTGACGTCCAGGCTGTCCACCTCTGCCCCATGGGCCAGGAGTACCTCCAGACAGCGCAGGTGACCCTGGGCAGCCGCCATACGCAGCGGCGTGCCCGGGATGCCCCAGCCACTCCGGCTGTTGATACACCTCCGGTACTGCTCCTTAGCAAGAAGTTCAGACAGGAGCTTGTCATTGTCATCAGCGATGGCTTGGTTCAGCTGCTGGGAACCATCTTCTTCATCCTCTTTGGGTTGGAGGAGGGAGAAGATCTTAGAAATGTCCATTAAACTCATGTCGGTGGGGCAGTGCAAAATCATTCTTAAGAGAACTTCTTAAGACTCCATTTGATCTTCAGCAGTACTTTGGAGGAGAAATAGAATTTGTTAGCATGTGCTTTAATACCTTAAACTGTAGTTATTAATTCCAAGACTTCAGTTGTTACAATGAACTAACTTGTATAAAACTAAAATGTAAGCTATGTGGTTATGACAGTGCAAAACAGTGTGGGCCTACATGAAGGCCCTTAAGGGAGTAACTAAAAAAATTAGAAAAATTAAAAAAACTATTACTATTTAAAAAAAGAAAAATGAACTTAATGTAAAGGGGAATTCCACCAATTTTTTAAAATACGAAATCATTGACCTGTAAACAATGTCATTCAGAGTGGTTACATTTTCATTAAAGTGATGGTGATAGGAACCAGGGCTTGCAATGTCTACCATGCAAATATACATTTTAGGCAAAAACCGTTTCAAAATAAAATGATGTTTTATGCATCAGGTTGTTTAATCTTAACAATTTTGTGAGCTAACTTTTTGTGAAGTAGCTTTTAGAGGCATTAAATGCTTTGGACATCTGGTCCACTGCTTTGAACAATTCTGACACTATAGGTTTCTGCAGAATGGTGCATTCCACTCTGAATGACTTTGTGCACATCTTAATGGTTTAATCATGCAGAAATTTTGAAAACTTGGAATTCCCCTTTAAGTTAAACACATTTCCCTTCAAATAAAGCAGAGTCAGCACATATAGACTAGTTACCTCAGCATAAAATACGAGTGCAATTAATGCCTCCAGATTTTCAGTTTGTCAAACAGCAAAGTGAAAACAATGGACTTTATTAGTAAAGATAATTCTGTGAAACCTTAAAAATGGTCCTAACAACTAATAAGCAATGGTCCACTTACCTCCAAACAAGAAAATCAAAATGCTAACTTTAACAGTGCCAAACAGCTATGCTGGCATATCTATAGTGGAAAACTGTTATCCTTCAGTCTGGAATGACAAGGGAATCTAGTTGTTGTATCCAGAGAGACAAAACAAATGTAAGCTGAAGCAATGTGTCAGTCTGACACAGCTCCAGGAGGCCTGGCCACCAAGAGGGGCTAATTTTAGGGCACAGATGGATCTGCCTAAACTTCCATTCTTGGAGAGAGTTATAATTAGAAAGGTGATAGAGTTGTAAGGACATGGGTGATGGGTTTTGATGGACATTCAGTGTCCATTGTAAGCATTTTTAAATGGAACATTGTTTTTTTATGGTTAATGTAGGGTATGTAAGCTTTTCATTATTATAGTTTCTTACAGTGTCCCTTTTTTGCTGTAGTATTCTAGGGTGATTTTCTTCACAATAAATGTCACAGAAACAAACAGGAGAAAAATCCAGTTTACAATGGCAAAAGCTCCCATGGCAAAAGTTCATTACAGGCATGCTTCTCTGCCTGACACCAAAGCTGCCATCTGACTAAAGTCTGCAGCTGTTTGACTCAAGAGCAGTAGATGACAATCAGCTGTTGATGCGCCTCCACGCCTCATGGTGGATAGATGCCTTTCCTCTCTTTTCTTCCTACTCCTTCCCTCAGCAGGACTGGAATTCTGTCACCCTTCCCCCACTCCCTCCTCAGAGGTAATTCTGAGCCTAAAATGCAGGCTAATAATAAAATTATACTAAATAACAAAGAAATCCAGTAATGTCCGAGAAGTACATTCATTGAAAGGCAAAACAGTGCCCAGAGAAAACGACTAACAATATTATATATAAATAATTCATAGTCATTTTGGATATCAAATAAAATCTGCGTCATAGACATTGTTCATTGTACAATTGTACATTGTACGCATTAATGACATTGTTTATATCTCAAAGATTGAATTACACAGAAATTTTGAAATATTTCCCCTTTAAAAGCACGGTGCACGTGCGTTTTTACTCCGTAACGGCAGGTGGCAGTAATGGATTAAATGCTAATGTTGTGGAGCGTAAAAGAAGAGCATGTAAACATTGCGGTTGCCTCATGTGTATTTTGTGATAAAAAAATATGGTTAAAAAAAGTGAACATCGATCCGTTATCCAGGCATTTTGGGTTCAAAATAGCTACTCAAGCAAAAAAAGCCGTAAGGTTAAGTTTAATCATTATCGGTTCTGTCGGTAAGTTAGCCAGCTAAGTGAAGTGGAGCTGCTGTGTCTGCAGTTAAAACGCGTCCATGCTTTACAACCAACTCGTTTGAGAAAAAAAGCTGTTTAAGATTGCTAAGTTTCATTGAGTAGGAACAGAATGACAGGTGAGGAGAACACTACAGCTGAAAGGCTATTATTTTACTCACATAGCTATATGAATTTAAATATACATGCTACTGGTGGCTAATTGACCGCTTTGTGGTGGACACAAAGGTCCTGCCTGAATTCAACATTCTCTACAACTGCAGCTTCACTGTGATGTACCGTTAGCTGTTGTTGACATTTTGTTGTTTTAATACAAGGAACTTTTGAGACTGTTTACAGTGTCTTTTCAAACATAAATTAACACTATATTTTCTGCTGAGTACTGGAATTAAAGTAATGAAGGAAAAATAACTGTTGAGTTGTATTTCGTAGTAGTGATTGAAAAGTAATGATTTTTTTCTGTATTTTTCAGGTACCAAAGGTCAGGAAATGGACGAGGCTGTTGCTCTAAAGGCCTACTGTAAAAGGCGGCTTAAACACATTAAGCAGCAAAAACATTTACTTGAATGTAAAGAAAAGCACCAGAAGAGGAAATGTACGTCCATCAAACCAGTAGAGCCCATTAGTGATCAAAGTGTGCCTGTGCGGTTTATATTCACATTAAAGCTAAAGACTTTTAGAGAGGAGATGAAGAAGGTAAAATGAAACCTCTAATCTTAATCCAGTAGTAGGGATTGCCAAAGTAACATTATGTTATGACAGCATTAGACAAACAGCAGTGAAAAATGACAGGTTCAAACTATTTAAACATAGGCTTCAAATTGTTTAAACATAGGCTTCTTAGGGCCAGTTTCCCAGACACAGACCAAACCTTAAGCTTGGACTACAAAGAATTTCCAAAGGTGATTCCAAACGAATCACTATTAGCACTGTAATTCAGTTTAAGACTAGGCTTAATCTATGTCTGAGAAATTGGCATTTAGAGTCACAAGGTTTCTCCCTGTTTATGCAATAAAACTGCGGCTGGTATTAACTGGCAGTAACTGCTGTACAATGCAGTCAATGCTGTGTAAGCTTTTTATTATTGTATTATTGATCAACAGGGTGCCGAGCAGGACTTCCACGAGCCCTCTCGCTGCAGGGCCTGTCTGGCTGAACAAGCTGACTTAGCCATGAACTACTTTATCAGAAAGAAGAAGAATCAGCTTCAGGCTCAACTACTGGAGGAGAGAATCCAGTCACATCTCTATAACAAGGTAAGCAGTAACATGGTAAAAGGTATATGAAAGTAAATGTGGAAAGTACTGGAGCACCACCATAATCTGCTGGATTCTGTTTCAGGACACAGGTTGCCTGCTTGGTGAGATACTGAAGGACCTGCCTAAGCCTTCAGATGATCCTTCTGAAATTTGGCAAAGACTGCTGTCAACTGAAAGATTACATGAAACGAAATGAAAGGCTTCATTCATCACTACTGATGTTTCAGTTTTACTCAACAAACTAGTTTGAGCACAATGTACATCACATGACAATATAGATTTTAAAAACAGTGTTTAAGAAACATTTAACACTTCTCAATAAGAAAAAAGATTTTAGTCAATTTTCAATAAATCAAATCAACAAACTAGTTCACAAAAAACAGCTGTGCTGCTATGGTAGTACAAAACACAGTTACATAATAGCTTGTTACTGAAATATTAAGGACAGCAAACATGCACTGAATAAAAATACTAAAAAACAATAAAAAGTATAACATTTTAGCATCATCATTACTCAAGTTGTCATCTAATACAAACGTTGGTTTATTGTAATGAGCATGTGTTTAAGTATGCATTAAATTTCTGCTACCAGTAAAAGATGACTTTTCATCTCTGATGACAAATTATGGAACTGTTACTTATGCACCATGTAATTTTTCAATGCTAAATGCACAGTTCATACAGTACAAAACAGTATTTCCCTTTGCAACATGTAATGATAGCGGCCTAAAATTACTTAGGCATGAATATAAGGAAGCAAACCTAAGAATTTTTGTTATTGCATTGATAAGCTTATCCCAACAGAATCGTAAGATGTTTAATAATAAATTTAAATCAAGTACAATTACTGAGGCACAACACAAAAAGGACAGGATTCAGGTATGCACTGTTTATGTTAAATGCATTGAAGTTCTGAAAGACAGCTATCACAGGTAAATATGGCAATTTTCTTTTAATTTATTCATCTGGCTTCCTCTTGGGTTTCTTCGGATTCCTGGAGCGGCTCTTCGCTTTACACAGAGGACAGATGGGTGCATTGCGATGTATTTGCTGGTGACAAGACAGACATGCCTGCAGACACAAATTTGTGCATTAATCGCTAAAAAGATTCACTTTCTGCAGTTAATTCAATAATGACCTGTACACCTTCTAAAGTACATCTTCTATCTACACTCACTGTCTATTATTTCAGGTTCACTTGCCATAGGAACACTTTGCAAGTATTATTTGGGTTTTGGATCATTTGCAATACTGCAATGACAATGACATGGTAGTGTGTTAGTGTGTGTTGCACTGGTACAAGTGGACTGGAGACAGCAGTGCTGCTTAAACACTTCAGTGTCAATGCTGGACAGAGAATAGTCCAACAATGAAAAACATCCAGCCAACAGCATGACCAATGCACACTATGCAGCGACACATGAGCTATTGTCTCTGACTTTACATCAACAACGTAGGTCTAATAAATTGGACAGTAAGTGGACACAACCTCCAGCATCACTGCTGTATCTAAACCACAACACACATTAACATGCCATCAATATGTCAGTGTCACTGCAGTGCTGAGAATGATCCAAAACCCAAATAATACTTGCTCTGTGGGAGTCCTGACTATTGAAGAACAGGGTGAAAGAATGCAGAGAAAAACATGAACTACTGATCTGTCATTGTGTAACTACGATGTGCACCTATATAGTAAGTGGGTCTGATAAAATGGATAAAGAGTGTAGATGATAAAAGGAAGTGTACTTGATGGTCCGTGTGTCTTTTGGTCATTCCGTTTTCATTTCAAAAGCAGTATTACAGGAAAATGGGTCAGTTGTCGGTTTTGGTTCTGTTATTGTCAGTGGAAAAATCAAGAAATAGCTTTATTTTACATTTTCACAAACTAATCAAAGTCTAAAATGTACATATGTGTTATTTGTGTTATTCTGAAGCCTCTTCTGTGTCTACTTCTTTACCAAGTTACTTATCATTACGACTGAAACCCATTCAATCCTCTGAGTGCTGCGTGAACGATCACTGCGAGATATCGTTCAGCTTTAGGTCCTGTTGTGCTGTTTGTTGTGAACCATTATTTACACACAGAAACAACCAAAATTGTGAGTGTAATCTGCAGTGTCAATATGCCTGCCAGACTGCAGGAATAAGGATTCTGCACAATACCGTAATGGTGTGTGTGTGGTTTATTTCTACTGGTCCTACCCTCTGTAAGAGTCCAGCCCTCTTAAAATCACAAACTATACGTGACATTACTTCTGGCTAGGAAATAGATGGCTTACAGCTACAAGAACACCCTTTTTTTTTGATATAAGGAAATATTTAGGACACTTCTTCATGAGTTATGTGTGTGTGTTCTGTGTTATGTATTGATGATTATGTATTTTGTTATTTTCTGATTGGAAAGCGTCCTTGAGCATGGAAAAGGCGCTATATAAATAAAAGTGATGAAGTGCAATATACGTGGTAAGGGTTAGGGTTTTTAGTAAACTGTAAACAATGTGGCGTATTTTTTCTCTTTATATTTCTTTCTCCTTTCTGAGAAGGACCTTGTTTTGGGGGTTCAGGGTGGTATGTATATGTATGGAAGGTATTTACCTGTCTTCATAGTAATGTACTTACTCATAAATGCATCTTATTTCCTAAATTATTCTTTAAAAAGTGAGCAAATAAAATTTGCATGAGATATATTTTAAATTACCCTCCCGGTCTCTCTTACAATGTTTTTCCAATAAAGCATCTTGTATCAAAGTAACTTTCAAAGGCTCTGCATAGTTAGTCCTAGGTGCAAATGCTGACCTTCATGGGTGGAGGCTGCTGTCTGAAGGTGGCTGGCTGCCGGGCATCTTGTTTTCTTGCGACCTGAAGCTGCTGGGCAGCAGCCGCAGCTGCCGCTAACGACTCTGGAATGATGGGCTCATGCGGCTCTTTCTGCCATTCGGCCTTCTGCTTTTCAAAGTAACTGGATGGGAAAACAAAAGCAGACTCCATGCTTGAAGTCCCTTCTATCTAAAACACATGCAGCAGAGTTGACTTTGGCCTACAATATAAAGATACGTGATTGAGTTTGAAAAATGACTCATTCAGTTTGACAAATGACTCACTCTAATGAGAGCCTCTCCTCCTCTTCATTAAGGTTGGGCAGTCTATTTAGGCCAAGAGTCATCCTCAGAGCATCCACGTGTTCCTTCAGGGGCTTGTACTCATCATGGAGGCGGCGTGTGGTCTCCAACAGCTTGTTCAGATCATTTTCGGACTGTTTAATGGTGCTCTCCATCTTGAGGCCAAAAAATAAAGACAGCTTCACTCATAAAAACAGCACTCACACATCAATTTGGGCATCATTCCAAATAGTATTAGCTGGCTAGCTTATGTGAGCACATTTAAGTGTTAACATTACACATCAAGACTGGTTCTCCTGATGGGAAATGTTAATTTTAGCTTACATCCAAACCCCAAATATTCCAAGACCTGATCAATTAAGCGTTTCCATTTTAAAGGAAAACCCAACTGTCTGTTTACACAGAGGCCAATGTATAGCCTCGTTTAATTTCTCAAGACCTGCCTGACTGAGACAAGCTTCAAAAAGCTTGATTGTAATCCACAATGAATAGTATTTTTGTTATATTCATAATCTCTAGTCAGCCCAATGGATGAACGGATCCATGTGAAATAAAAGAAATACATCACTATAAGTGTATGTTCAAAAACATCAGAAATAGTGGTCCAGCTGCTCATCCAGATGTGTTCCTTACAAACTTCATGGCAACACATGACAGTAGTGAAGAACAGAGGAATAGCTACATTATTTTCTTTGGTGTGGTAACTTTCACAAAACTTCATAAACACATATTGTTTCCTACTGTAGATATTTTCAGATGCCAAAGCCATACCCAGCCCTCATGGAGATAAAAAAATACCAGTCATTGTGGTCTGCATGCAAGTGTTGCAATGCAATGAAAAGCAAAAGTTTCATCAGGCAAATCCAGACACATAAATAATGAAGTTATAATACTTTAGTCTCATTGTTTCCCAATCCTGGTCATCAATTGTCCCTATGGTGCACACATTTTAGTGTTCTTCCTGCTCTTTAACTCAAGAGGGGTTGTCAGTTGATGAAACTGTTATGTGTAGTGCAGGGTACTTTTGGCCTAGTGTTGGGAAACATTGCTGTATGATTACATCGATAATATTGCTCGTATGTTTATCCAGCTCATAGCTACATGTGCACATTTCCATGTTGTTTTTTCAAGATACCTAAAATGCACACAGGCTCTGGTGCTTGTCAGAATCAAAACCAGATAGCCAATGTTAAGTACATAAAGTGCTCAGGCTACTCCAGCCAAATTTCAAAAAAGCAGAACAACTCCATGTGACGTGCCAGTGCACTGACCTGAGGTGTACACTTCATCATGAGCCATAAAAGGTTAAAGAGAGGCCTTACAGAAATTTTCTTTTGAAACTCAAATGTGAAAGAGTTTAAATAAACAGAGCAGTTATTAGTCTGGACACCCACCACATTAATGTCAGCATGAATGAGGCGCAGCTCCTCCACATGGGCCATCTTCTCCTGCAGGAGCAGATCCATCTCCTGCTTGTACTCCCTCAGGTGTTTCTCCTCGCATTCCAGGGCTTCGAATTCGCTCTTCAGGCGGGATTTGATCTTCTGCATCTGAAGAGTTTTGTTCCTGAATCATATGTTTGAACATGTTGCCAGATTTTACATGGAGACATTTAAAACAAGCACATACAGCTTTTAGGTAGCTGGAATTCTGCAATTTTTCAAAATGTGTATTATTGCCAAAAAAGAACACAAAACTAACACTACCCGCGAGAGCACCGTTCTTGTCTGGTCATGGAATTTCAAACACATTGCTCTCGTCAGTGTTACTTAGAAAGATGCTGCTGCTTGTGTGCTGAAAAATAACTAAGTGTTTTTGAGAGATGTGACGTGCTCATAAGAACTGATTTTAGTTTATCCATCATGCTGCTGTTTGGCCTTTGGCTTTTAAATAAATGGGTATGGGCAGTGATTTTTTTTTTTTTTACAAACAATGTAACCTATTGTACATGTCGAAGAAGCACACCACACACAAATGGTTAAGCCATTCGTGAAATATTTAATAAGTGAAATTACTAACACTTCAGTTGAGGTGAGTGGTTTTGAAGGACAACTGTGATGTTTGTCAAAAAGTTTCCCAATTTACCCAAAGTTTCTGTGTCGGAATGCAAGTGGTAAGATACACGGTACAGGTGAACAACTGCTAGGGTACTGTTAGCAATTTCAGCTAGCTCCTTTGTTCGGCAAATACCTAGCTAGCTAGCTAGCTGACTACCAATAATCACTATCCAGCAAGCAATAGCTAATAATAGCGAGCTTCGGGAATTCAAAATGGACAAAACACGCAGTGCAGCGCATGAAACTGTCATTATGGACAATATATAAATAGTTTTCTTACGTGACATGCGTATTAAAATAAACCGACAATCCAAATGAGCGAACCAGATAGCTACCCTACATTAGCCAGCCCGCAGCTAGTAAGCAAAACCTCTGGCTACCACTGAATGACCGATGAGGGAGACACCGTTACCTTATTTCCAGAATATTTTCTAATTTGCACATTATTTCTTGCTCGTCCGCCATGGCTTCACTTTGGCCTCGGGAGGTTTCAGCGTCAATTTTTAATTCGCTGGCTTCCTAAATTAATCCCAAATCACCGTGTAGGTAAAAAAAAAATCAAATGTTATAGTGGCAAGTGAGGGCAGAGTGTACACGTCTGCGCATGCGTCAACTAGCAGACCCGCCGGCCGAGTCATACACAGATTGTTGAAAACAATGGGAAATGGATTTTTGGATTTTAAACACACACACACACACACACACACACACACACACATATATATATATATATATATATATATATATATATATATATATATATATATATGTGTGTGTGTGTGTGTGTGTGTGTGTGTGTTAATTAAAGTATTTCTGAATATTGCACAATGAAAGGGGGAAAAGAAAGGAGTTTTTAAAGGGTCTGTGTTGTCTGAAATTTTTTTCTTGTATTTTTCCCTCCTGGAGTCCACTTATAACATTTGTGTGGGTTTATATACCAAAAACAGTTATCATTCATTTTTACAAGACAATTTCTAACCTATTTATCCCCAGGTTATTTTGTTACTGTGCCTTTAAGACTGATTTATGCAAATGAGCTCTGTTTTGATAGGCTGTATTGTGCCTCAAAAAGCAGTCCGAACTAAAACACTGCTTGTAACTTCAGAATGAATTGGTGGGGCTAAACTGCTGTAGGCTGAGTAGGTGGATATGTTAATACATTTTTTTTGCATCTTAGTGTTTATATATGGCCTGTATGAACTGCCAAGTGAAAAGTATTTTATAGTTTTATATTTTATAGTTTTGAAACTTTAACAGTGATTATATACTATATGAAACTTATTTATGTAAAAAGGTTAGGAAAATTCATTTTTCCATTATATAGCTTACTATATATGGTTATCCTTTAAAATTAAGTCACACTGTCACAACACTGAAAAAAATAAACTGGCTACACAGTAACATGCAACATACTAGAATAGATAACATGACTGGCGAATATAAGCAGAACGGTTCATAATCTGAATGAGATTCCAGAGCTGCCATTGGATTAGAGGGATGAAAAGGCCATTTAACAGCACAAAGGACTGGTTTAATTAAGGGTAATCCTGGTAAATATTGCAAGTCCTTTCATATGACTTGGGAGCAGGCTAGTGCATGGGAACAAGTTTAGAAAAACCTGGAGCTATTCAAAAATAAAAGAAAATGTCTGTAAGTACTGCTCTAGTTTATGCTTCTAACAGTATTGTATAATGGGGTACTTTTCAACATATTTATAGAGTCAATATGCACGATTTATGTGGACTGAATTGTATTTACAAAGCTAATGTGACATTTCACAGTATGCTGTTTCATTTATTGTCTGTTGGTGTTGATTAGTTTGACCTTTTTAAACCAAACATGCATATTGATAAATTAATTACTACATTTGGTAATCTATGTACGTGCTGTTGCAGAGTGCAAAAAAGGTAGCAATTCAAATGTCATTTAATGGTCAATGGTTGTCTGAATTGGTAAAAAGCTGCTTTCAGTGTTGTTTTTACCACTCGTAAAAAGTCTACACTATTGTTGACTGTTACATTTAGAATCAATACTTTCAATAATATAAAATTTGGTTGCAGATAAATGTTTAAACTTGTAGTCTGTACAATGTTTAAACTTACTAGTTCTGTCCAATTTTACAGGTTCCAGATAATTAGTAGAACACTGGGTAGCCGTACATAAAATGTAAGAAATTTTACAGTTGCAGAACACTCTAAAATGACTGAGAAAGCTATATAGCAATGATAATTAATAACATTAATATCCACAATTCATCATTTTACAAAAGTGTAAATCAAATCTCAGTGCAGATAACTTGTTAAAAAATGTAAATAGACAACTACAGTATATAATTTATCATTTTATTCATTTCTTGTCCACAGAATTCTTGAAATTAAGAAATCTGTGTATAACACATTAAAAATTACCTTTTGGTGAATTGTTTACAGTATTTAAATTCACATTGTATATATTATTATTGTATATAAACTAACACAAAATTGTTAATATGGCAAATTATTTGAGAACATTTTGGACTTTTAACTGACTTTGGACTAAAATAATTTTGCTTTAAGAGACCACATACCTTAATTATGTTTATTTTATTTAAAAATGATTAAACATTTTGTCACTACCAATAAAATAACAATGCCTCAGAAATGTTACCAAATGTTTCAGTAGTGAGAGTTTTGGTAATGACAGTTTTAGCTAAATTGGAACATAACTCAAGTACATAACTAGCAAACACAGCTTTGTACAGTTGTACACACAGAAAATCATAATATTTTTCATTAAAAGACAAAAAGGTTTACTTAATTGCAGAAAGAATGTGTTTTGATACTGGCAATTTCTAATGTAACACACTGATTTTCAGACTTTGGTACACTTTTACTTCAAAATAATTACTTCAAAATTCACGCTTTGCATATGACCGTAAACAGGTAGTGCTTCCCTATTTGTGCCAACCTTTTGGTAATCTTTTCAGATTTGGGAGGGTTTCTTTTAGTTGAATCTTTCAGTTGTTCAAATTCTGCATGTTGAGTCGAATGATTATTTCAATTTATGAATAATTTATTGGTGCAAAATCACCTTTTAGATAAGACCATCTAGCAAATCTGTAGTTATAAACTGATTGTTCTGGTTGTTTGTTGAAACAGTTGATGATAATCACTGTGAAATGTCTGACTCACTGTTTGAATGACAGGTTAAAACTAGATTTACAAACAGATTTTCAGAATGCAGCATTTTCCAGAGTTCATTAAACCATGACATTTTTATGGTCTTCTGCATAACTGTAAATTTTGTGCTCACACCCGAACAAACTGAAGAATGTAAGTAATCTCAATGCAATGTTTTATGCAACTGTCTTTTTATCCACAGATAAATGTACGAGTTACTACAATGGATGCTGAGCTGGAGTTTGCAATCCAGCCCAACACAACTGGCAAACAGCTTTTTGACCAAGTATGTATTTGAAATGGGAAAAACATATGGAGGACTTTAGAGATTTGTCACAGACCAATCCACTAAACAGCACAGCTCTGATCAAAATGTAAAGCCTAAAGTCAACGATGATTCACTGATATTATGGTACATATAAACGTTGTGCTTTCCTCTTTTGAAGATAGTGAAGACAATTGGACTGAGGGAGATATGGTTCTTTGGACTACAGTACCAGGACAGCAAGGGCTTCTCCACATGGCTGAAACTCAACAAGCGGGTCAGTCCTGCTAATGCCATTTAATACTCTTGAATTGTTTGAGATGACTTAAAATGATTTGCCACATGCACAACAGAAAACATTACTACTGAGTCACTATGTGGATATAACTTTCAGAAAATGGAATAAATTGGAAAATATAACAAATATATTTTCAGTTTTCAACAAAATATACAATACTGTGCAAAAGTCAGAGGCCAGCTTTCTTTTATACATTATCCAGTCAAAACAGCCATTAGGTACAAGTTCTTTATCTTTCACTATAAAGGAAAAAAGCAGGAAGCATATTTCACTGAACATTACACAGAATCCTCAACAGCTAAACATAACATCAAAGGTTTCAGTATTTAGTGTATCCACCCTTTTTTCTTTAATACAGCTTCCATTCTTTTCAGGAGACTTTCAGTTTTTCAAAGAAGATTGTGGGGATATTTTTCCTCACTTCAGGCTTAGAACTTACATTAGAGGTTACATTGTCTGCTTCTCATGACCCAGGCAATCCCAAACATTCAATGATGCTAAGGTCTGCCAGTACACTGGCAGCTTGTTTAATTTGCAGTTTAATTTGTTTAATTTCTTTTGTCTTTTCTCAGTGAAAGTATCTCGACAACCACACGTCCTTTTACAGCCATAGCATCTAGATCTGATTGTCTCCTACTTCTCAAAGACCCCAACTCCAGTTTTGGAAACTCCTGTTTGTTCACTGATTTTCTTTCTCCTTCCTTATTTCTGGAAACATCTCCTGAAAAATAAATAACTTATCAATAAGGGGCATTTTAATGGAGATTACATAAATGAAGGGTGGTTTCTGACAGAATGTATGTGACACATTTTCACTACACTGAGTTGCCAGTTTGTACTTCTATCTACAGTCCTTGGACATTTTATCAGTTACATCAGTATACCATAGGCGCACTGTGTAGATATAATAGCTGCCTATAGCCCATTGCATAATTTATCAGATGCCCTCTACCCCATCTAAAAGTGGTTCTGTAATCATAAACTGACCATTGTTGAAGAGCTAGACAACTCACGTGAAAAAACATAGAAAGCATGGAAAACAGTGTTTTAGCAATGTAGGTGTGTCTAATGAAGTGATTCACTCATGCCAGCTCAACACCAACTAACATGCCATCATGCCAGGTTCACTGCTGTACTAAGAAAGGTCCATGAACAAAATAATATCTGGTAATCAGTTGTTCTATAGTGGTCCCGTTCCATTGATAGAAGAGGGCAGTTGATAAATTGTGCAACAATAGACAGACCACAGTAAGTAATTGTTAACTCATAAGGTTCACCAATATGTTAGCTGCACCTGATAAAACTGGCATGAACAGTGCTGTGCAAAAGTCAGAGACCACCCTTATGTTTATTTAATTTCCAGTCAAAACAAGGAAAGCAGGATGAATATATTTATCACATAATTGCAAAAAAGCCTCCAATATTAATTATAATATTAAATCTATCAGTATTCAGTTTGTCCATTCTTACTTTTACTTTCCCAACAAAAATAGTTCCAAAAGGGTCACTGACATTATATTCCCCTTCAAACAAATACTAACATTCACACAAGCACTTACCCAAACACACCTTAGCTGTCTTGTAGAAGGGAATGTCAAAGGGTGCTGAATTAGTTCACATTAAAATTAAAAGAAAAAATAGGTGTTTTCAAAACTAGAGTTCAAAAAATTACTAATAGATAAGGAGAAAATGGGACTCCTAACAACCATGCAAGACCTGGCAGACCACCAAAACGGTTACCATCAGATAAACAGTACTTAAAGCTTTCCTTTTTAGAGAGAGAGGAGGAAAAAAAAAACAATCTACACATGTTTATGTCCATGCTTTCACTGTGAAAAGACAGCTCAACCCTATAGGTCAGAAAGGATGTGTAGCTTCAAGAAGCTGATACTGAGCATAGGAAAAAGATCCCAAACTGGACATCTGAGGTGTAGAGTTAGGTTTTATGGACTGAGCATAAATTTGAGATCTTCAGAAGTAACAGATGGCAGTAGGTTTGCTGCTGAAGCAATGAAATACTTTTTAAAACATGCTTATAACCATCAGACAAGCTTAGTGGTGGATGAGTACGAGTACGAGTATGAGTAAGTTTGGGGATGCATAACAACAACTGGACTTGTTGATTTGTTTTTGATTACATCATGAATGCTGATACATTGAGGTAAACATGTTTTAAAACATCACAAACTACTCTCTGCAAGACATCTGATTGGAGAGGCCAAAAATGCAACCAACTTCTAACTTCTTTGCAGGTGTTTACAAGAAGCATAGAAAAATTTCTCAGCAGATTTCCTTGAAAAAATGGAAGCCTGTTTCTCAATAACAGGAAAGAAAGGGAGGCTTTCTGATAAAGGCAGAGGGTGGACACACTAAGCACTGAAAAATGTTTTATTATGTTTCATCATGTAGATGTGCTTAGTGTAATTTCTTGTTAAATATATGTTTTCTGCTTTTGATGAATAACTAGGTGGCCGTTTTAACTGGACATTAAATAAAGGACCTGGTGTTCTCTGACTTTGCCCTGGTAGTGTAGGTACAAGATTAATAATAATTAATAAACTGGGAATGTAGTGTATTTGTATGGTTACATATGCAAATTCAAGTTTATATATTATATCAGGTGATTGCACAAGATGTGAGAAAGGAGAACCCACTGCTGATCAAATTTCGAGCGAAGTTCTATCCAGAAGACGTGGCTGAGGAGCTGATCCAGGAAGCCACCCAGAGACTCTTCTTCTTGCAGGTTAAGGAGGGAATCCTGAACGATGACATTTACTGCCCGCCGGAGACCGCTGTGCTGTTGGCCTCCTACGCTGTGCAGACCAAACATGGGGACTACAACAGGGACTACCATGTGCCTGGATACCTTTGCCATGACAAACTGCTGCCCCAGAGGTGTTAGCTATATGTTTAGACTCTCTTAGCTTTGCTGAAATCTGTTCTGAAATGTTTTGCAAAGTGTCAATTTAATATATAAAATGAATGGTTTTATATGATGTCTTTGGTCAGAGTCTTGGAGCAGCATAAGCTGACTAAAGAGCAATGGGAGGAGAAGATTCGGGCATGGCATGAAAAACATAAGGGACTTCCCAGGTACTGTAAGATAAATACATAAACAACACATGGCAGAACTGAACCCTTCTGATTTGTTGTAGCCCTGCATGGCTCTACATTACACCTTGTGTCTACTGTGTTGAATACTTTATTGCAGGGAACTCGATTCCAGTCAGAGATCTATACATTGTTTAGTCTATTTCCAGCCCTATTATGCCTAACTCGGCTCAGTGGTTTACACTTAAAAGTTAAGTTATTACTTTGTTTTGCTCTATTATTCAAATGCAGTTTCACAGAAAGTTAAGCAATGGATTATATTTACATCCAATTTACACTCTATATTGACAGGTTGATGTTTTGATGCGGCTTATGCAAAAGTTATGGCACATTTTAAATTTATGTTTTATTTTTTCCAATATGTTAAACTGGCAGAGAGACAGTCCACTGGTTGAAAAATTAATGGGATAGCTCATAATGCTCAAGCATAATGGATGTTATACAGGAAGTCCCACCCTTCAGTAAAAAAAATGCTTTGTTGGTGAAAGCATAAATGTTTTTCTAGCCCATATAAAGCAAATCTGCATTCATCCTACCATTTATGACTTACATGATACATTTTACTGTGTAATACTCTGGTCCTCTAGTACTGAAACCTTCCTGTATCTGTTCAATTATTCAGAGAGGAATCTATGGTCGAATATTTGAAGATTGCTCAGGATCTGGATATGTATGGGGTGAATTATTTCAGCATCAAGAACAAAAAAGGATCAGAGTTGTGGCTGGGAGTTGATGCTTTGGGACTCAATATATATGAACGTTCAGATAAGTATGGCCACACTTGCAGCATAGCTTCTGCATCCAGATTTTTTTCCTGGTCTTACTGATAATATGCCCAAATATGTTTATTTTTTTAACAGGTTAACACCCAAGATTGGATTCCCATGGAGTGAGATTCGTAACATTTCATTCAATGATAAGAAGTTTGTCATTAAACCAATTGACAAAAAATCACCAGTACGTAAATATGTCAAAATTAAAACTTGTAACTGAACAAGTGATTACATATAACTGACTCAGACTTAAAGAAATTATCTTGTAGTACTTGTACTGAAAGGTGTCAATTCATTTTATCAAAGGTAAATCAGATCATTCTAACTAAATCAATTAAAGTCTTAGGTTACCTCAAAAAGACTTTCTTATGTGTTTTGGTATAATGTACTGTAATATATAAAATAATATTATTGATAAGAACACATAAAAGTGGTAGATATCTCTGTTTCACACAGGACTTTGTGTTCTATGCACCCCGCCTGCGCATTAACAAGCGCATCCTGGCTCTGTGTATGGGAAACCATGACCTGTACATGCGCCGCCGTAAGCCCGACACCATTGAGGTGCAGCAGATGAAAGCCCAAGCCAGAGAGGAGAAGAACAAGAGGCAACAAGAGAGGTGACAGGAATAACTGAACAGCCGTATGATTCACTTCCACAAAGTGACAGAAATAGGTCACTCTTCTGAGAGTGAGCTTTCTGTTTACTTCATGATCATGTCAGGTGGTGTTTAACCCTTTACTGATCTTAGCCCCTTAGGCAGTAGGTAAAATGCAAATAAAAACCGTAAGCAGTGATTTTGTAAATCCAGTTTGACCTGCAATACATTTCAAAAAAGTTAAGACAGGGGCAATTTAAAACTAGGAATGTTGTTAAATGTTCAGAAAACATTTAAAAAAAAGTAATGTAATTATGCTTGGGTATAAAAGAAGCATCCAGGAAAGGCCTAGTCCTTCATGAGTAAGGATGGGTCAAGGCTTGCAAAAGTCTTGCCAAAAATGCACCTGGAAATAGTCCAACTGTTTTTAAGAACAGTGTTCCTCAACGAACAATTGCAAGGATTGTAGGTGCATAATAACATCAAATGTTTAAGAGAATGCTTAAAAAGCAAGGCCAAACCACAACTGAACACCTATGACCTTTGACACCTCAGTCAACACTGCATTAAAAAACCAGCATGCTTCTGCCATGGATATTACCACAGGGCTAAGGAATTCTTTGACAAACCACTGTCAATAAACATTGTTTGTCACTGCATCTACAAATGTTATGTCTGTATTATGCACAGTGGAAGCCATATGTCAACAACATCCAGAAACACTGCGGACTTCAAGGACCTTCACTGAACTTGTGTGCTGTGGTCTAAAGACTCCACCCTTCAGATTGTCTATAGAAATAGTGGATGTTTCATTCTCATTCATTTACAAACATATGGCGTATTATGAAGTACACAATATGATAATAAAGGCCCTGGATGGTTGTACAGCTGAAGATAAGAATGGCAAAAAAGTCAGCTTTCAAAACCAGATCAAATGGTGTCTTTAGCTCCCAAGCGTGTATTAGGTGCAGTTAAATGTGAAGGTGATGTAACACAGTGTTAAGCCTGGTCCTGTTCCAAATTTTTTGGAATGTGTTAAAGTCATCATATTTGGTATAGGCAATGACGTTCACAAGGTAAAACATCAAATATCGTGTTTTTTGGAAGTCTGAGGTGTTTGAAGGTTAAAGGGGTAAGAAAAATGAATCAATTCCCGCTTCCACCCTCTCTTTTCTGAATCAATGGCAAAATCTTCTTGAAAGCTGTTAATCCTGTTGTTTTGGTTCAGAGCACTGCTGGAAAATGAGAAAAAGAAGCGAGAAAATGCTGAGAGGGAGACTGAAAAGATTGCCAAGGAGACCATGGAGCTCATGGAGAGACTGAGACAAATTGAGGAGCAGACCAAAAAGGCTCAAGAGGGTAAGAATTTAGAACAGCAAAACGCTTAGCCCCCAAATTAGTTTGCAACTGTTTGAAATGAAAATAGCCTTTGTAATGTAGATCCAGTTGTGCTGTGTTTGCTAAAGCAGAACTTGAAGAGCAGACCAAACGGGCTTTGGAGCTGGAGAAGGAGAGGAAGTTTGCCCAAGAGGAGGCGGAGAGGCTGGAAAAGGACCGCAGGATGGCAGAGGAGGCTAAGGCCGCACTGCTCCATCAGTCTGAGAGCCAAATGAAGAACCAAGAGAATCTGGTACAAAACATCACTAACTACCACGTCTGACATGGTGTCAAAAAGTAGTAATAGATAACTGACAGACTGCAAGTACTAAATATCAATATATGTCAGAGATTTTATCTGACGTTTTATTTTCCTCTCCAAAGGCCACGGAGTTAGCTATGCTAACATCCAAGATCTCTCTGTTAGAAGATGCCAAGAGAAAGAAGGAGGAGGAGGCTAGAAAGTGGCAGAAAAGGGTGAGAGTAACATTTTTGGCATCTCTAGGCGCAAAACCTTGCAAAACTTTTTTTTTTTCTCATTCTCATAACTGCCAACCATATTCAAGCATGCTAGAAGAAGAAGGTTGGATATGATATTTTCATGAAGGTTTAAAAGTTCCATCAAGATAAGCTTTGCGTATATTGTAGGGAATGGCAGTACTTTCACAACACTGACAAACTTTGTTTCATTAAAAAGAGTTTTAGAAGAGGTTGTGATGTAGCTATTTGGCCTTGGTTTGGCCTTGTTCTTGAGAGGTCGCAAGGTTGAATCTAGGTTGAATGATGCAGAGATTCCAAGAGAACCTAATTGGCCTGTCCTAATTGGATGTAGAGCTATGCAGTATGTGAAATGTTGCATTAAAACAGCAAACAGAAAAATCATATTATTATATGATATGAAATGATGTTATACTTCATATTCCATGATATTGCCCACCCCTGCTACAAGCATCACTTTATTATTCCTATTTGACTCTCTTGACAGGCTGTGATGGTCGAGGTGGACCTGGAGAAGACGAAAGAAGTGTTGAAGAGCAAGATAGTGGGGGTCCACATCCAGGCAACATCCCATCCAGAGAATGACCATGATGAGAACGATGAGAGCAGCGCTGAGGCCAGTGCAGAGCTCACATCTGCAGGAACGTATCAGGATCGCAGTGAAGAGCAGCGTATGACGGAGACAGAGAAGAATGAACGGCTACAGAAACGTCTTCTGGTGAGTATGGAGAAAAGTGACTGTTTGCACCAAAAATAGCAAGTTAGATTAGCAAAGAAAGACCAATGTAGATATTATATGACTTGAATTTATATAGCACATCTCTCAAACCTAAGGACTCTTTACAAAAATAACAAAATACATAATAAACTATAAACAAAACAACCCTCAACACATACACACAGTTCCTCAGCTGGCCAGTGGGGGTGTATTTCCCAGACCATGATATAGTGTTGCTTATCTGGCCTTGAAAGAGTCCTTAGCCATATAGCGTAAGGTCTCTTTCTGCCTGGGGGGCAGGGGACTTGCAACTATGGTTTAGGGTCACAAAGGCAGCCAGCATTTAGCTGTACTGTTGTAAAAAAAAAAACCTGTGTAATGTCCTACAGTGTAATGTCACTAAAACGGCCAGCCCATGCAGCTTTCAAATGGTTTCATATGCATAGGAGATGGGTGGATATAAAAAAAAAAGCAGTGATAATTGGATGGAACTGACATATTCATCTGATGGATGAAAACCAATAAACAAAAGTACCTTTGACCCAAGCTCTGTGCTACACTGATGTTGTTTACTAGATGGTCTTACATAACTCTACTTAATGAAAGCACATAAAATGAATGAGTTAAATTGCCTACTAAAGCACAGTATGACTTACTGTGGACTATAAAAAATAGTCTACAGTAAGTCATACTTCTTTATTAAAGTAAATAATAAAGTTTTTAAAATGCTTGACTGCAAACAGTGCATTCTGTCAGTATTACCAGGAATACTTGTTGATGTTGAAATTTAATGGAGATTTAGTATTATAGAATGCTGAAAAAGTAAATCGTTTTTAGAGAAAAGTGACAAATTAATGCTTACTTGCAAACCTAATGTTAAGAAACCTCAATTGCAGTTGTAGAGTTTTTAATAGCATTGTTTCATATATATGACCTGAATATTCCTTTTTGGGATTATAACAATAACAAGACATTTAAACTAACAACATGTTTTAGGGTTTCACATGGAATCTTCTTTGTGTTTTCGCAGGCTCTAAGTTCAGAGTTGGCTGATGCTCGTGATGACAGCAAGAAGACAGAGAACGACCTGATTCACGCAGAGAATGTGCGGTTAGGCAGGGACAAATACAAGACCTTGCGTCAAATCCGACAAGGAAACACAAAGCAACGCATTGATGAGTTTGAATCCATGTGATTTTTTTCCTTGTGATGAAAGTGTAGTCCAGTCATTTAGTCAGTCTCTATGTTTAGATAATCATTATAAATACTGGAGAGATTAGATTAAAATGTTCCTCCAAATATATAACAGAGTGCTCTGATTATGTTACTCACTGCAATGAGGTTATGATGTACTAAATAATTATGTAAAAAATTTGAAGTAGGAGGGATGGCTTCCTGACATTGATGAAACCTTTCTCTGATTAGTATTTTATTAATATTGAAAAAAAGAAAATGTTCTAAATCCAGGGCTAGGCCTAATCAGTGTCCAAGAAAACAGGCCTTGAAAAGAGTGGTTCTGTGAAAAATCAAATTTACATGATTTTCCACTTACTCTAGATGTAGCTGACCAGCTAAAACATATTTGGAGTCCAAATTTTGCTTGTTCAGTTTAGAGCTGGAGCTGCAAGGTTAATGTTGGCAACACTAGAAGTCAACAGTCACCCAAATCCTTTCCATGAATATAGCCTCAAAACGTCTCTTAGCCTGCTCAAACCACATCCAGGTCTTCATTAAAGTCTCACAGACTTGTCGATGTGCTTTTAAACAGAGTATGACTTACTGTGAACTACAAAAAATAACAAAACCTCACTGTGTAGCTGAACAGTGCGGGTAGCCTTTTTAGACATTAGGGTCTGTATTCGCAAACCACGGCAGGAGTAGGAGTACTGTTGTAGAATCTGTTTTTCTGACAATGACCATCATAAATACAGAGGAATCTTTTCCAAGATCAGTCCTCTAATTTACAACTTCTTTGTGAATACCAGCCCTGTTGCCTGAAATGACTGCCTGAAGGGTTGCATTTTTGATCATTTTTATAGCCCACAGTAAGTCATACTGTGCTCAAAACCACATTGTCAAGTCTTCACAACCTTAATGAAGACATGGATGCAATCTGAACAGGTTGAGAGAAGCTTTGAGGATGTATTTAGGGAAAATATTTAGGTGACTATAGATTTCTACTGTTTCTTAGCAATGTTAGCTTCTCAGCTCCAGCTCTAAACTAAAGAAGCAACATTTGGATGTCAAATATGTTTTGGCTGAGCGATTACATCTGCAGCAAGGGGGAAACTGTAAATTAGACTGTTGAACTATTTCTTTAAGAGGAGTAAATACATACTACAAAATGTAAAAGATGTGTATGTAGGGCCTATTAAAAGGCACTGAAATTGAATAATCAAATGCAGGCCTTCATGCAATACAGTAAAATTACAGAATGAACATAATCATATAAAATTGTTAAAATCATTATAAAAACATACTCAAATAAAATGTTCAGCTCTGTGTGCACTGATATCTGGTTCTGTAGTTTATTTATAGCAATTCACCAAATGGTATCATATGTATGTCACACTGCTGTTTTAAATGTATCATCATGCTTTGACAAAAGTGTCATTAAATGACACTATGTTGCAACTGGAATAGACATCTCACTTACTTACATAACAGTTTCTACTACAGCTTGTAAGTAGTAAACTTCCTGTGACGGACTGTATGACAGATGTTTTCAAATTTAAATTCAGATTTAAAAATGCTAATTAAATAATGTATTTGCAAATACATTTCCCATGTGAGTGTGCATTATTGAAGACATAACACACACACACACATACAGTGTTTTTCAGAAGTTTTTCTGAGCCCCTGCAGTGATTTCCACTACAGAATCATAACCGTTTTTGAAGCAGTGCCGTCTGAGGGCCCAAAGATCACGGCCAGCAAATACTGGTTTTTGGCCTTGTCCCTTGCATACAGAGATTTCTTCAGATTCTGTGCATCTTTTAATGTTATTATGTACCATAGATGATGAAAAGCAAAATTTCTTTGCTATTTTTTTAATGTTGAGAAATGTTATTCTTGAATTGTTGCACTTTTTGCTTGTGCGGTCTTTCACAGAGTGGTGAACCGCTCCTCATCTTTACTTCTGAAATACTCAGCCTCTCTGGGATGCTCTGTTTATACCCAATCATGTTACTGACCTGTTGCCAAATAACCACCAGGTGTTTTTTTAAGCATTACACAACTTTACCAGCCTTTTGTTGTCCCTGTCCCAACTTTTTTGGAATGTGTTGCTGGCATCAAATTCAAAATGGGCAAATATATTTCAAAAAACAATACAAATTTCTCAGTTGCAACATTTGATGTGTTGTCTTTTAAGCATTTTCAATTAAATATAGGGTTTAAATTATTTGCACATCATTGCATTTTGTTTTTCTTTACATTTTTCACAACGTCCCAACTTTTTTGGAAATGGGGTTTTATATATATATATATATATATATATATATATATATATATATATATATATATATGTATGTATATATATATATAATGCAATGATATGCAAATCATATAAAACTTGCAGAAATTATTTTTCACAAACAATAAAAGGTCTCAGTTTCAACAATTGATCTGTTGCCTTTGCACTACTGTCAATTAAATACAAAGTTTAAATGATATGTGCATCACTGCATTCTGTTTTTATTTACATTTTGCACAGCGGCCCAACTTTTACTTTTTTGGAAAGGGTAGATTAGCTCATGACCATGCCACACTGTGCAGAAATAAAAAATAAAAAGGTGCATGTAGGCTGAACAGTATTTTTAGAAGCTTCGACAGGCCGTTCACAGAAAGTGCCCCCTTGAACTGACTGGCATCTGTGGCTGATATGCCAGCTATACAGTGGTAAAGCACTAGGTCAAAGAGACAACAGAGCTTCATATAAAATCTCTGGACTCATCCTCAGTGCATGGTGAGTGAGTATTTGTGGAAAGCAAGGGACCTCAGACGCCCTGTGAATTATGCCTGGTCGGACTTTTATGCACAACCATAAATATGTGATAGCGTCTACTGTATTACTAACGATTACTATAATGCGCCCAGCGTCTGTCTACGCTTCGCATAAGATTAAAGTGTGACCCAGAATCGGACGAGAGAAAGCATGATCCGTCACCCCAACGATTACGTGCCAAGTGGAGAGGGACGTTTCTTAAGGGTGAGCTGCAGCAGCTGTGTTGTCTCCAGAGAAGGAAGCCTGTCAGACTGCAGCGGTTTGTCAGTAACACTTAGCGCGATGTTCGAGGCGAATCGTGTGAACGAGCTCACGGCGTGAAAGGCGTGAAGGCGACGATTAATTTAACGCTGGACTAGCAGTCGAGGCGGGGTTTGGAGCAGTACGAGGCAGCCAGCGAGTGCCAGACTGAATTCGTGATGAATTCGCGCCCAGACTCCGGTATGCTGGACGAGCTGTGGATTCCGAACCAGAGACTCCAAAGCGGAACCAAATGGAGATTCGCTGAACCGCGCACGGCACCACTTAACTTAAGCGTCAAAACAGAGACGAACGACACGGAGCACGGAGTTAACTTCCAGGCGGCTGAAAGAGATGTCCCACACGATCAGTTTCCCCGACACTGCGCGTTTCCATACTACCCAGACTCACACGAAGCGTTTCCTTTGAGTGCTATCGGTGGATATGGGCTACCTGCATGTCCCTCTTCGCTTGATAAGGCGCCTGAGCATCTGTACCCAGACGGAAAGTGCACTAGGTTACCTGGCGCCATTTCCTCAGCAGGGCTTCTGCGAGCCTGCAAGATACAAGCACTCGGATCTGAGCAAAGGTGGGCCAAGGGTTTAAGCGAATGAAGTAAATGGCTTAAACGCCACACTGTTAGATAGACAGATATGTAGGTAAGTAAATAGGGTGAATAAATAAAAGTTAGTCCTGTAAGACTAGAGGCAAAAGTCTGGCTGCAAAGTTGCCAGCAGGGAACTGGTATTACGCCTGCATAGTACAAAAATGAAGCATAAATGTTCGTCTTAACTCATACGAGAAATAAAGCACATTTCACTGATTTCTGACCTCCTTCTTCTGGACCACCCTTCGAGTGGAGATTAAGCATTTAATCGTAAGAAACTCTGCAGTTAAATGAGATCTTCTCCTCATAAAAAAGAAGAGAGCTAAAAAATTCTATATCGATTATAAATTAGTTTCATAGTACTCACAGAATAATTTATAGTGCTTTAAAGTAGTTACTCTCAAATGAGTCTCAAGATTATTTGAATAATGTTTGAACAGTTTGAAGGGTTAAAGACCCATTTGTCTACACCATCGCATTAAAAGATACAGTGTGTTAGACCTGCTTGCTGATATGATGTATTATCTTGTTCTTAGAACTTCAGTTGTGTGATCCTGTTAATGTTCACCAAATACTGTTCATTCAGTCCTAACACTCTAGCCAGGCAACCCAAGCACACCGTTAGGTAAACAGTTATGTAATGGAGCAATGTAACCCTTCTCAGAGGTTACACACTGGAGACATGCATTGCTGTTCGGTCTTCAGGTAGAAAGCTGCCCTCAGCTCTCAGCCCAAAGATAATGCTTCATGTTCAGTCATTTGTACCCTTAAGAAAGCTGTTTGCAGTTCTTTTTTCAGTTACAGATATAGTGTAGACCACCAGCATTGTGCAGCTTTGTCTTCCCTTGCATAGTCATATAAGTGTTATAGCAAAAAACACAAAACTGGGGAGTGCAGCTCAGCCCAGTTCTGGAGGTGGGGAACACTATGTTAGTGCATTACAGGAGCTGGTACAGCTTAGACAAGCTTACCCATAACCCATGTTAAGTAGCTTGTAAGATGCTCAAGGATCATTCCATACCAACTCACCTAGCCCTCCCAGTCAAGGATTTTCTTGGAAAAAAATGTGAAAACCTCTATCACATTCACAGGAGCTTGCAAAACCCTATAGCTCTATTTCAAGTACTTTTTTTAAGTTATGAATTTTGTTATGAAGTTTGGCCCTTCTCTTCATTTCTTCAATTTCCTCACCAGTTGCTTATTTTTCACTGGATTGAGTTGAAATTTGTACTTAACGTCAGGCATAAGGATCATTTGCAACATGTATTCATGTAAATAGTTGCTGCTGAATATATATAAAACAATTAAGTATTTTTTTACCAGAATGAAGAATTTTTAATTTTAAAATATTTAAAATATTTATAATCAACACTAGTTTTCACCTGATTGCAATCAGATTTTGATTCGGTGTAGTAATAGGTAGACTAGATCTAATCTTTCTTAAGAGTATAGCTGTCAATAATTAACTAACTCCTTAATCCCTAGGCATATTTTCCATTTCATAATCTTACTAAGACTTTTTATTCACTAACAACTTTGAAACTAATAACTAATAAACTAATGTTGCTACGTAGTATGAGTAACTGAAGTGTGAGCCCATAGTATTTAAAGAGTTAACAACTATAAAGTAATAACCATGAAGGAAAAATATTTTAAAATTAATTAATTATAAGTATAAAATGATAGATGGGGGAGTTGTGGCTTTTTAATAAAATGGTGAGGGCAGGAGTCATACTCTTTACCAAGAATGTCAGGGCATTTTGGGCACATCTTTGTACTTTGTGTGATTTAATCCACTTTGGGGACAAAGTGACACATGGAATATAATCCATGTTCCAGGGAGGTTAAAGTTTTAATTTTAGATTTTTTTAAATCAAATAATCTTTTCTTTTTTTAATAACCACTGTAGAGTCAAAGGGAGCGGATATATTAATTATGTCCCTGGCGATGTCATGAGTGCTCTCATTTTACACATACAGTTGTGCCATTTAGCAAATGTGACATGAATGGTTTATTCTGCTACAGATGTTCCAGGGAAAAAAATACATAGAAGCAGTTTTTCTCAAGGTGTCATCTGAGCAGACATTGCAGCATTTCAACAACAGAATCCTTCCTGTCTACTGCAGAGTTGAGTTTTTTATGTGTCTGTATTAAAGGAGCTTTAAGTTCTGTCTGATTAGGGGTTCAGTAGCAAGTAGCCTGCAGTGTGAGCTCCAGTTGCATCCAATTTTAGATATGTTAAGTGCCTTGTTGGATTGTGGGCTTAAGAGTGTAACAAGCCATGTAAACTAAAGATTGCATACAGCTTTTTCTTTTCCAATATTGATACCAATATTGATGCCAGCCCAGTTTTTTCTTTAAGATGAACTGAAACTCTTCATGTACTGTGGCATTTTTACAGGTACCATGCTCAAAGTTTTCACAGTCTGCAGAGTCTGCAACCCTACAGTAAGGAAAAAATATAAACAGCAACCTGAATTATTCAAAATTGCAGCTTTTTAATAGTGCAAAATTAGACTAGGCATTGTAATTCTAATATAGCTGTTTTTCTTGTGTTAACACTGTCACATTGCTGCTTTCCTTTACATTATGTTGTGCAGCAAGTTGGGATGCTCCTTTGTCAACTGACAAACATGACCATTGCTTTTGGTTAATAAAGTTTGTTTAATTTTCAATAAACAACTAATATTTCAATAGAAGGATTTTTATTTAACTTAAGGTTCTGAATTGTACGCATGAGGGCACAAGTGCAACTTGTTATGGTATTCGTACTCAGTGATGCAGAACTATGGGTTTTCTGGAGTCTCCAACCCCTGATTCCTGTCATTGGAATCAATTGAGTTGACTCCATTTAATTTTAAAAGGGAGCACCAGAGCCATTGGTAAATGGATATAGCAGGGATAAAACCATCTTAAATGTAGTTACACAATTGTATGAGTAGCTACAGAGTTGACACCCAGGCATATTGGAGTTGAAGAATCGACTCCTTTGGAGTCTACTCCTCATCACTCGCCCTACAACCCAATGAAGTGTGCGGCTAAAAAGAGCGTTGTGCGGGACCACTTTTTACAAAAAGGTAATGTGGTCAGATGTAAATTATGTAATGCTGTTTTAAAGTATAGCAGTACAACGATGTACCATATCAACAGCAAACAGCCATACGTGCTTACCAAGGAAGTACAGGCAACTATTTTATCCATGATCTCAGGGAGAAAGTGCAATGCATGAAAGTCCCAGGAAATCACACAATGGGTGTGTGAAATGAGAGCTTTTGAGAGCTGCTGAGGCAAGCAATTTTGACCCAGAAACTACTTGTGCATACCAGCATTTCAGTACCTGCAGACTGCGTAGTGGGTATTCCCAGCTTTCGGTCTGACTCTGAACAGACTGTGTAGTAGACTGACCCTTGCTCATGTGCATATGTTGCACAACAAAAATGACAAGGATATTTAGTCACTTGACACAGTGCGAAGGTAGGCAACAACTGACTTTTTTTTAGCCATGTTGCTTTCTGTTGAGCGTAGCCTAAAACTATAGCCTACAAATGTGTTTTAGCTGCCTGTGTTAGCCTAATTGGTTAGCCTATGTAGTTAGTCCCATGATGATAAAAGCTTAAAAGCTGAGAGCTACCATCTTTATGTAGATTGTTGTTTAAACTATGCATATGAACTTAAGGGCAAGCCCTGGTCAGACCATATATGTTCATTGAAATAGTAATTTTAAAAGTCTGAGGTGTTGTGGATTTTGTGTTTTTTGCACCACATAATATGTCTTTACATATTATCATCACACACACAGGTTCAAAAAGAAGGTCTGGCTCAATATTTGGGTCTCAAATAAAAAATCAACATTATACTGATGAAGATAGGATGCCAGTTGTAGATAATTCTCTTACATCCTCAGAAAATATGTCATTCACTAAGTTTTGATTGAGTTCTCCCTCGCAGTCGTCAGATTCTCCACTCGAGGGTCCAAGCATAACCAACATTAAAAAATGTTCTTCTGCATGTTGGGTGCATTTCCACCAAAGAGGTTTCCAAATCCCCAAAACGTCCATAGTGTAGCTTTAACTTGAGCTAATAATATCAAGTAAATGTAAATAAAAAACTACATTATGTCATGTGTCATATCTTTTATATTAGGCAGTGTTTTATCATTAAATAAAAGTCTAAAGCCTTGTTTATATAAAACCAAGTGCTGTGTTTGATGTTTTCATGGGTCATGTCTGTGATTTTAGGTTTGTCTGACAATTAATCACTGATTAATGACAGTTGGTTATCAATCAAAAAAAATTTACCAAAAATCGAAGCAGTGCCATCTCTAATATAAATCTAGAAAACTTTCAGTGATTAGTAAAAGGGGAACACATATTCACCGGTGTCAGCAGAAGGCTTGGTGATAATTTTAACAGAATGTTTCAAGCAATAACTGTTATTGTTCTTTTTGTATGTTTCCAGACTGGGAGACTTAAGGCTCCTATTCCCAGCCCAGAGAATTTGCCAGGTCTGTGGAGAGCAGGCTTCAGGGTGTCACTACGGAGCACTTACATGTGGGAGTTGCAAAGTGTTCTTCAAGAGAGCTGCCACGGGTGAGTCTCATAGTCTCATGCTGTTTACCTATGTGCTGCTGCATGGGTTTAACTGGGCCAGAACAAATCAGGTCTGCTGCCTCCAAGACAGATAAATGTAGTTTGTGCTCTGTACACAAGGGCATTTGAAGTATATTCCAGGAAAGTCACAGCTCTGAATTAAATAAGTATTACACACAATGTCACTTTGTTTCTAGGCAAACAGAAATATCTGTGCGCCAGCAGGAATGACTGCACCATTGATAAGCTCAGGAGACGAAACTGCCCATCTTGTCGTCTAAAAAGATGCTTTGAATCAGGGATGAGCCTTGGAGGTAACTGCCTACTGTTTTGAAAAGGTCATAGAAGTTCTTAGCACTAGGTATCTCTGGTTGCGATATATGCATACAAACATCACTAGTATGTACTTTGTTCCTGTTGATGGCACTTTGCAATTGGAAATAATTTTGTTATAATCAGTGCCACAGGCATTAATCAGATTCCAGTGGATCAAAGGAGAAGTGACTGTGTTTAAAATGTGTTTAAAAATGACCCTTTGACCAGCTCATTCCTTTGGTCTCGCATTTTGCTTTACTTCCTCAAGGCCAAAAGCTAAAGAGAGTCAAACAGGCCGAACCAGCAAAGAATGAACCTGCCCAAGCACCTGCAGTAGCAGTGAGGCATGTTTCTCCCAAGCCTGCTCTCCAAACCCAGCATGAGCTTCTGAACATTCTGGAGCGAATCGAGCCTGCAGTGGTGAATGCCGGCCATGACCAGGCTCAGCCTGACTCAGCTAACTCGCTGCTGACCAGCCTCAATGAACTGGGAGAGCGACAACTCGTTACAGTTGTCAAATGGGCAAAGGGAATGCCAGGTAATGGACTGTTAGATGGAGAAATACACATTTGTATACTCTATTTAAGCCCTTTTAATCCCAGGTTATTACATCCGTATAAACCTAATAAATATATATCCTAAGGCTTATTATTCAGTACCTACATTACAATAGTTATAGTGCAAGCCTGCTGAGTTCTTATGTTAAAGGAGAGTTTATTAAGAGTTTGGATCCACCAGCTGGCCCCTTGGATTAGCCTCGGAAGTGATTCCTGCTTTCACTGTGCTACAGAGGCTGTTGTTGAAACAGACAGATGAAGAGCAAACCTATGAAACGATCTTTATTTACAGCTGTAACAAAGCACTTTTCTGATCAAAACCCACTCTTCTCCATTGCAACGCTACTCAGGTCAAGGTAACTAACGTATTGTAGCTAGCTAATGCATCTTATTTAAATTCAGCCAGATTTTAATGATAGAACTGTTAAGGAACATTGCACTCAGGTACACTAATAACTGCTTAATTTTAAGTAGGTTACTCAGTATGGGATCAGAATCAGTATTGGCATGTATTAAACAACATACTCATGCTCAATCTGAAAAAATGCTATTGATGCATCATTAATAATAAAATTATGAATTATTTGTTTGATTAATGATAATAATTTTTAATACAGCATAATATCATATCATTATTGTGGGTCCAGTTTAATACCATGATATAAATTTAAGTTTATATCACCCACCCCTACTTTAGTAACCAAATCACTGTTCCTGTTTTGTTAAGAATTTGTTATTTTTGTGTGTCTTGAGTTATGTACTGTCTTTGTTATGCACTTTGTTGTTGCAGGCTTTCAGAAACTGCACCTGGATGACCAAATGACTGTCATTCAGTACTCCTGGATGGGAATTATGGTGTTTGCCTTGGGCTGGAGGTCCTACAAGAACGTCAAGGCCAGAATGCTTTACTTTGCCCCTGATCTTGTGTTCAATGAGTAAGTCAAAGTTTAAAGGAATATTCCTAAGCAAATAAGCCAACACAGTCAAAATATTAATAAGAACCAGCAGAGAACCATTTAATTAATACTAACTGCCATTTCTTTGCTCAGGCTAATGATTTTTTTTTTTTACTTTTTTTATTGGTGGTGTGTTTCTTTAAGAGTATTGTGTTCAGAGTGAGTATGGCTCTGTCACTGCAGCCAAGAGACATAGGTTACCTTTACTTACACTTGTCCCGCTGTATCAACATACATGCGCCACACCTAAACACTTGTTCTCAATAATGCATGCCATGTAAATATTTCATTAAGGATGGAATGCACAGATATGCCTTCACTCTTCCGCTTTTCTTGGTAAATATGTGGTCTTGTCGTGCCAAAGCCATGCTGTAAGGGAAGGTGCTCGGTGGCATACAAATGGGCTGGTTATCTGCAGCTTGGGGTGAAATTTCATACCACATTAGCTCTGTAGACTGGGCAGCAGTTGATGCAGGGCAAGGGTAATGGAGAACCTCCCTTCCACCTCGTCTCTCCCTCTCTCTCCGTCTCGCACCCCCCCCCACCCCAGCCAGAGGATGCAGGTCTCCAGCATGTACGAGCACTGCGTCCGCATGCGCCATCTCTCGGAGAGCCTGAGTAACCTTCAGGTCACACAGGAGGAGTTCCTCTGCATGAAAGCGCTGCTCCTCTTCAGCATCAGTGAGTCCAATCACATCACACCTCCGTGCCAGCCTTGCTGGTGGCTGCCACATATTCACAGCACCACCTGCTAACTGATCATATTGCTGTATTTTGAGAACTGGAACAAGGCTGAGTTCTGAATTTCTCTCTTTCCACTGCATACGTCAGTCTGAGTGTTATTCCCAATGTGTCTTTTTCTACCACATAAAAAGTTTGTATACAGTGTGCCCTGAAAAAAATCAACACATTCAATTTTGCTGAGTCCAATGTGTACATAGTTTCAACAAGAATAAATATATTACACTGAAATTATTGCTGAAAGTAAGAAAACTGAAAGGCTAAATTGTGTTGATGGAATATAATTTATTCATACAGAAATGCTGTGCTTGTTTGAGTACATTCAGTGCATTACCTTTTTCAGTGTAAGTGGCCATATTGCAGTATTTTAGGACAGGAACGATGCTGAGTGCAACTCTGAATTTCTCTTTTTCTACCACGTAAGTCAGTTTGACATACAGTGTATGCGCATATGCACATTTGGACAGATTTATATTTGAATCAAGTGAGCTTCTCCCAAGCACTGCACCACACGATAGTCAAGGTACCTGCAACAGTATTCAAAGAACATATTTCATTAGTGATTAATGAACAGCGTCAGTTCTCGGATCTAAGGAGTGTGAATATTAAATAAGCTTGGCTGGAGCTCTGCAGTTGGAATCAGGTTGCATCATCCCATCAGTTATTCAGTCTGGCTTGTGCTGGAACATAAGTTAAAATTTAGAAAAAGAAAAGACAAAGTGACCACCCACTCATGTTTTTCTGTTTTTTTTCCCCCTTTCAAAATTTCAGCTTAAGCTCCAGCATGTACCAGTAGTCGTGTCCACATAATTGCCTGTCTCTCCTAGTCACTTTGCCCTGGGACGTTTTCCTTCCTCCTTGAAATGTCGTTTGTTTCAGTTCCAGCGGACGGGCTAAAAAACCAGAGCTGTTTTGATGAATTGCGGACAACCTACATCAACCAACTGGATTGGTTGGTTACCCACACAAGCCACGGCAACCACGCAGAGAGGTTGTTCCAGCTCACACAGCTGCTGGACTACCTGCACCCGGTGACATATCACAGTCATATACTCGCACTCTACCACATTCACTGCAGGCTCATACATCAATAGAGAGCATAGCAATAATTTGTAGGGATACACAATGTAATTATCACTATTACATCATCAGTATGATATCGGAATCATATCGGTATTTGCTGATTATAGTTTTAAAAAATGGCATCATATAAACACTTAGATTTAACCAATAATATCTGACATTTGATGATGTGTTGTGCTCCATTGTACTCCAGTTGAAGAGAACATTTAGGCAGCACTGTTGCTAAAATTGTCTGCATTTTATTCATTTTACTGCATTTGTAACTCTAGACAAATAAATGTTACATTTCTCTGTAATATTAATCCAGATGGATCTAGTCTCAGTTTCTACATTTTATAAAGGAATGTATAATGAAAAATATTAGATATCAGCATCTACACAGAGTACCCACATCGGTGCATGCCTAATAATCTGAAGTGATGCATTCACCTTTCTAATGTACGGCAGTATGGGATGCTAGGACATGATAACTTTCAAGGTACTTTTGCTTATATGTGGGGTACAGTGATGTTTGCTTTGTAAGAATTCAAGTCTTTATTTGTCAGAGGTGTGTAGAGTAGCCTTAAGTCAAGTAAAAGTATTGTTGCATTTACAAAAGCATTGTTGAAAAAATTCAATCAAGTGGAAGCCTAGTAGAAGAACTAGACGTAGGAGTGAAAAAGTAACAGGTCAAAAACTCCAACATCCAGAAAAGCTTGAAATAAAAAACAAGATCTAATAAATCATTGCTTAAAAATCATTTATTAGATCCATCTGAGAACTGCCTGGGTGTGGTCCTAATATTCTGATGAGCATACATGATTGACATCCCTCAGTCCACCAACTCTTAAACTGCTAAGCCACTGAAGCAGAACTAAACACATAGGTAAAAGGGGCTCTACAAAAGCAGGTCATGTGGGCTATCCATGCTTTGTCCATGAATACTAAACGCTCAACACCTCTTGCTCAGTTATGCTTGCTAGTTTAGCTTTCGCTCAGTAGGTTTCTCAGACTTGTTTGGGGAATAGTTTTTTAAAGGGTGGGACAATCCACATCAGCCTTGTGATGAGGATGCTCTTTACATATGCGTGACATGAAAATTAGGACTGCCCAGTTTACATAAGAAAAGGAGAAATATGGCAGAATCAGCCATTAAATATACATTGGAAAATTATCCATAGGACATACTTTGTACATGTATATCTTGTGCACACAAGAGGAAAATTAACATGGATTTATGTTTCCTGGGACTTAAGTATAAGTGACTTGAGTAAATGTAGCTACTCACTGCTTAGTACACTGTAAAAAATGCTTTGTCAGTTTAACCTAAAAAAATGTATATGGTAACAAGCAAGTTAATTGGTTTTATTCAACTCATAATACTAAACAAGCACAATAATACACAATAACGTTCTGCAACATTCATGTATTTTTCCTTTCTTTGTTTTTAGATTGTGAAGAAGCTTCATCAGTTTACGTACGACCTGTTTGTACAGGCCCAGTCCCTTTCAGTGAAAGTGAACTTCCCTGACATGATCTCACACATCATATCTGTTCACGTACCAAAGATCCTCACAGGCATGGCCAGGCCAATCCTTTTCCACAGATAATGCCTTGACCTTAACATGCCTGCCTCTCCTAGCCATGCCTGTTATACAGCTGCTGTATTTTCTGCAAGAGCTGCTATAGCTAGTATTGTTTTTCTATCAAATGCTCAGAGATTGCCTAGCCTGTAACAAAAGACATAGCAAAACCCTTTAACTGAGTGAAAGTGACTATAATCAGATTAGATGAAGCTGACAAAAAAAAAATCCTAAGAGTGCCACTGTAGTTACAGTTGTACGCAAATGTTTGGGCACCCAAATTACAGATTTTGTAGATTTTTAGTGAAAAGAAATAAACAACTTAGCAAATAGCTATTTAAAAATCTAATTTCTCTGCAAATGTTCATGCACAGTTACTTCATGTTTGATTACCTTAAAATACAAAAAAATAAACTGACAATTGTGGCATGTGCAAAAGTTTGGACACTACCAAGTCAGTCCTTGGTAACACCCACTTACACAAATCACATCTAGCAAACACTTTTTGTTGCCAGCTAGAAGTCTTTCTGTTGTAAGAATTCTCACCTACACTTGAACAGTTCTAGCTCTGTGATATTCTTGGGCCATTTCACATGCACAGCACGTTTAAGATCTACCCACAGCTTTTCATTGATGTCTAAGGCAGGGAAATGTAAGGGCCATTTCAAAAGCCATAACTTCCATTTCTTGATGTAGTTCATAGTGGATTTTGAGGAATATTTGGTTTATTGTCCTGTTGTAGAAGACAGCGTATTTTCAAGTTAAGATCCTTGACTGACTTCCAGAACATGCTGATAATTAGAGGAATCCATTCTTTCATCTACATGTGCAATGTTTCCTGAACCACCAGCTGCCACATAACCCTAAAGATTTATAGAACCACTCCTATGCTTAACAGTGTGCAAGTTGTTCTTTTCATCAAATACTGCTCCTTTTTTTCTCCAAACATACCCTTGGTTATTGTTGCTGAAAAGCTCCATTTTACTTTATCAGTCTAAAATGCCTTTGGCTTATCTAGAGGTTGTTCTGCATACTTCAGATGTTGAATTTTATTATGTCACACATAAGATTTCATTTTGATGGCTCTTCCATGCAGATCATGTTTGTACAAGCAATGTTGCTCAGTATAACAGTGCACCACCCCTCCTGTGTCAGCTAAACCTTCCTGTAGGTCCTTTGCGGTCATATACCTTTCTGGCCAGCACACAAGCAGTTCTGTCTAGAGGTTTCTTTAGTCTTACAGACATTTCAGAGCTGGAATCACTTTGATATCTTTTTATGCTTTGTAGGCACCAGTTAGCTTTATCCCCCACCCCCCCACCCATTGTGGAAGTCAAATTTTACTGGTGATTTCAAATGTTTTTATATGGTGATTTTACTGTCAGTTTCGATATTTGTCAATTATTTTGGTCTCTCCTCATTCAAAGAGATATGAGTCTGGTCTTGTGTGGCTAAAAATAACGGCCTGGTGGTGTTGCAAAGATGGCCGACTTTCCTATAAGGACTTTGGTGTTACCAAAATTCTGACTTAGTGGAGTGTCCAAACTTTTGCTTTATTTTAAATTAATCAAATATAAAGTTAACTGTGCTTTAACATTTTTTTTAAATAGCTGCAGAGGTTGTGGTTACTTTTTGACTTCTTTTCGAAAAATCAACAAAATATGCAATTTCGCCAAGGGTGCTCAAACATATAACGTAAGTAATGAATGTAGTATAGTACAAATACTGTATTGAATGTATTCTTTTTTCACTGCTGGCAACTGGATTCAGTGTTTACTTCAATAGCTACAAGCCATATGCACTAAAGACGAGTGAAGTAGTAATTAATATGAACAGTATGTAATTTATTTCAAGACTTTTTAAAGAACATATGCACACAGCAAAGTTTGTCATGTATTATTTAGACTTCTTTTTGGTTCTGCAACACTCTTATTTTGATGTTTTTTTTTTCAGTTTGCATTTTATTGGTAATGTAAAAAGCTAGAGACTTCAAAAGAGCTGCACAAGAGACTGTATAAGAATGCTGTTTTTACTTGTAATTGCTGTTGTTGTATTTCATTCTGTTTGCACTTTAGACAGACGACAACCAGTGAATAAAAAAAAAGTCAGCACAGCCATAAATTGTGCGAAGAAGGGCATTAAGGCCTGAGAGGCTTGCTGACTCACCTCCCCTACTATAAATAAAATCATAGGGGTGAGAAAATAGACTTTTTACTAATGCGGGGGACCAGAACTCATTATTTATAAGGATTTGTTTCATGAAAAGTTATGGCCCACTCACACCTCCCACACTATGTTTTGTATTTTGTTTTATTAGATTAGGGCTTATTATTGTGAACTGTTTGCAGGCCTTGCTAACGAGAGGCTGTTTAATGTTGTGCTACCCCCCAACATGGCAGGGGTGGAATTGAACAGAAAATAATAGAGAGTTTAAATAAATAGAAAAAAAACAAAAGGAATGAATTAATAAGTATAAATAATGTATGCGCATTTGGAATTATGAAGGATTATTTCCAGACTTATTGAATGTTTGTTCAAGAGAGTTTTTATTAATTTTTTGTGGTTCCTATTGCAGTTTGTTTCCTATCAGGCCAAAGTACTTCTATGACTGGCATAACTCCTATCAAAGTGAATGAGAAATACACCATACAGTTTATATACTTATATGTGAATTTAGTGTATCCTTTCATTATGTGATCAGTTTCACTTTGTAAATGTCAAAAATTGTCTGTAGAGGACAATTACATACAGCACTGACACCATCATACATGATTGTAGGCTTTAGACCCCTCTAGTGGTTACAGTGGAGACAGCATAACCTCCATACAGATGTATACAGCATGTGTTTGTGCATCACACAAGTATATTACATTTCATTAAAGATGTGATGTTTCACATGTTAATGCATTTTCCTATTTTTCTTCCTGTTACTCTGTTGTTTGCATTTATTATCTGTCAGGCACACTTGTATATGTCACTGTCATACCATTCCATACAATTTTCTGCCACAGTGCTTTCCCCTTGGTAGATCCGACCTTTTCCTCGACCCCCTTTTAAACCTGTGTCACGGTTTATATGGATGGATTGAGTCATCCAGGAATAGCCTGTAAATGCTTCACTTGTGTGACTCTGCTTCTACAGGCCCAATTATTCATACATCCTCTTGATATTTTTTCTTCACTCTTGCAGTTTTATACTTCAACTCTGACGAAATAGAGTATATGTGTATTATTTATTTGATACGTATGTTAAAGTTTTCAAAGACTTTTCAACAAAGTCACTGTTCACTATTCTGGGTCTGCTGTATAACATTTCAGAAACCTTCCTTCTAAAAGCATTCTATTTTTGATCATTGGCTGCAAACGGCAACTGTAAAAAGCCATCTGTATAAAATTCAGATTGTGCGACAGTGGAGCGCGGATCACCGAACACTGTCTCTCAGCAACAGTTTTGTCTTCATAAATTTAACAGCAGAAAGAGGTTGAGAGCAGACTGAAAAAAGAGCTTATTTTGAAATCTGTTCTTTTCATCATTCCAGCACATGTGGTCTGCTTTAAAAGCAAAAAGTTACATAGAATTGAGCTAATAAAAAATGGATTTGCCAAAGTACACATTTGAAGACAATTCTGTCGCTTTTGCTTGTGTATTTACCAAAGCCATTTCCACATCAATATTGCATACTGCAAAAGCAGTTGGATTGTATCAAAAGCCTTAAACGTTTTTCTTTATAGAATGTTATTGTGCAGGTTTCTCATACAGTACCAAAGTCTCGCATGCAAAAGTAGCAGAAGTCACTGCCCTTCATTTATTACATTTCTAGTCAAAATGAACATTACATACAAGATAATCCACTTGCAGAAAAAGGGGGCAAGTCAAAGCGAGACCTGGTAGACCACCAGAACTATCCCCATAAAACAGATTAGAGAAAACTGCTTTTCTCTAGCTTCTGGTCTGAAAAAATCCACAGGGGTTTCTGTTCATCCTTCCACTTTGAGAAGACTACTAAACACTATGGGTCTGAAATGATGTGTAGCTGTCAAGAAAAGGAAATTTAAAAACTTAATGTCTTCAGAACAATTAAAGAGTACAGACCTCAGAATTAATGTGTTTGGGATTACTTGGATTGTGGTAAGCAGAAAATGCCGTTCTGCACTTTGAGCCCATGGAGTTCCCTGGGGCAGCACTCTCAACTCTCACCCCTTGCTAGACTGGATAAAGCCTTTGGACAATCTATGTGGCAGAGTATTGTTTGTTTACAAAACTTTGGTAGACCATCATTTAAAGCAGTTGGCAGTCGAAGAACTGTGGGAACGAGAGCTTTCCTGTATTGGTCCTTCCTTGGATTGGAACAGTTTATCCATTATAAAGTAATTCTCAAAGCATGTGCAACACCTTACAGGAGATATCAAATGAAACGTATTTCTAATTATACCCGTAATATTTGTAACTCTGCACCTGGTACATATATGCATATGTTCTGGGAATGTTCTAAAGTAGCAGATACATGGACTTCTACAGTAGATATATTATCTGAAGTACTTGATCTCAGTATTCCACTGTCACCACACTTATGTCTTTTAAATGATGACTCAGCCCTTCAGTTTTCTTCGATTCAGTGAAGGATGCTGATGGCAAGTTTTACAGCTACCAAGAAAACTGTCTTGCAACTTTGGATCACCCCTCAGCTTTCAGCTATGAAATTCTGGATATCTAGTTTTCAAAACATAGTTTGGATGGAATATCTTACAGCAAAGCTTAACAAGTCAACAATACGAAACTGGGGGAATTTATATGACTATTAAAAAAAATTAGTTTCCAATTAAATTATGTAATATTGTTTAATTGTGTAGTTGTTTAAGTATTGTCTTTGTTTTATTTTTTATTTGTGTGTATTCCTAAAAATGTATGTCACCATCCTGCCTTCCCCTACCCCTTACCTTTCCCCACTTTTGTTGTAAAACGCAAAGAAAAATGCAGTAAAAAGTTGATCACAAAAAAGAACCAGAATATGCAACCAACTTCTAAGATTGAACATTGGAGGGGGAGAAACATCCCTGCAGATTTCTTATAAAAAATGTAGGCAAATCTCCCAGACAGAAAGGAAATATTATAAAGGCAAAGAGTGGATACACGAAATACTGAAAATTATTATTATATTTAGTTAATGAGGCTTTTGCACAGTAGGCCTACTGTGGATTTTTATGTACTCGCTTTTTGTCTTTACTTTGTCCATTTACTTCCATCATG